ACAAGATAATAATAATAATATTCTAAGATAATAATTGATAAATAATAAATAATAAAATAATAAACTAATAATTAATTTGTTCTATAACACTAGATCTCTTTAAATCTCTTTTCAAACAACTAATCTTGCTTCCTGCTTAGTTTTAATATATTTTGTTTATACTTTTTAGATTTTTTATTCTGTGTTAATACTAATTTTAGTTAGCTGTGTTATGAAGTTTCTTGTTATATAATCTATTTTTAGATTTTAATATTTTAATTCTGATACTGCTTGCTTGTTCTATAGCTATTTTGGAATAATAAGTACTATATCAGGAAAATTAAATAAGTGCAAATTTGCAAAAATCGATATTTTTTTGGATTTTTGAAGAGTTGTTATAAAAAATTTGCAGAATTTTTTAGAATTTGAAGTTTTGCACAGAATTGCATCTAATTTCTGTATTTATAGTATCAAATTTGAAGTTTTGCACAGATTTTTATTTGATTTATTATTTGATTTTTTTGCAAATCTGTGCAGAACTACAATAAAAAAAATTTTCTAATATAAGCTAAGAGTATCTTTTTTGCAAGTTTATTAGCTTCTTTATTTTCTTTTAATCTGCTATGTACTTTTATTTTTTTAAATCAGATTTGTAGCTCTTTTAGTTCAATTGTATACTATATTTGCTCTAATAGGCTCAGATTTTCTTCTTCTTTTTACTCTGACTTACTTGTATCACCTGTATTATAGCTAGTTCTCAGCAAGATCAAACATTTGTTTGACATTCAATAAGCTGACTTTCAAATTAATACAGCAATACAGTATTACTATACTAGGGAAATAGAACCTATTTGAAGTCCAAAGAACTAAATATAAAAAATATTAAACTGATTTTTTTATATTACACTGTGCCTAACCAATAAGTATCGACTACCTATTGTTTTGATTGTTTCTTTTTCATGTTACACCTGATCTAGTCAATCAAAGTTCAAAATTTGTTAACACACAGACATCGGGTGTACTATTGCTCTACCAGTAGTGTCCTTCGGACAATTATCACATTACCACATTTCTGTATTGATTCAAAAGTCAGATCATCACATGTATTTAAGTGTTAAACAAATGTTTGATTTGCCAAGCACTAATTGTAGCCATGCTAATTGAGAAATCATTGCTAGAAATTTTAAAAAACTTTAGAATTTATTAATAGGATCTTCGCATTCCGGACAGGCACGTGACTAATGATCAACAAAATCTGGCACAGATTTCTTGAGTGCAATAAGTAGACCATGGGGAAGTGACGAATCAGAGATCAATCGAAATGGATGATTCTTCGGTTATTGTTGGGCCATTGCTTATAGTATTTCCAAAGTAATACTCCATGATTAAGATTCGGGTATTACTCACTAATCTTACTGTTCTTGAATAAGATCCGGGAATATAATGATTTACTATTAATATATATTCCCAAATAAAATACCTGGTTCATCACATAGTATACACCTAAATTTGATTCTAAACCAAATTTATAATTTAATATGTTCGAAAAACTTATTTATTGATTACTTGTATCGATATTAGTGGAATTAAAATAAAAATAAAACTATAGTTAGATGTTTATTAATTTTTCGTATTATCTTTTGTTAGAGTTTAAAATCATATTTTTAATAATATTTGATTTTTTTTTCATTCCTTTTAACACCAATTTCTTGTTTATATTGAATATTAATACCTTACTGGTGCGCATTATTGGTATTTATTAGTCCCGATTGGTCCTAATTGGCGACTATTGATTAAATAGCGCATTTATCCATTGGGACATTGATCCGTTTGACCTGTTTGTCAACAGGTCGAGCTATCAGTATATGAGGCTAGAGGTTAGAACCCGATTCTTCATCGGCTTTCTATTGGGGCCATTAGCTCCGCTGGGTTCTCCCCTGGCTTCATTCACTCCATTCACTCCATTGGGCTTCATTCGTTCCATTGGTAATTTTCTCAATAGAGTGTATCCGTTGCCATCCTTGCCTATTGGTCTCGATTGGTGACTATTAACTAAATAGTAAAAACCTTATTGACCCTATTGGTACTCTATTGGTACCTTATTGGTACCCCATTGAGTACTATTGCTCTAATCGATACCCTATTGACCTCCTTTGGAGCCAAAAGGATCTATGTCAAAATTCCGAAAGTCGCGTTGCGTGACGTCGGGGCTCCACTATTCAAATTCCGCTTATGATTAGCGTTAGTAATCATTATTACAAATCATAAGCGGGTTTAAATAGTGGAACTCCGACATCACGCGACGCGACAATTAAATTTCGGGATTTAGACATAGACCCGAGCCAAAAATAGGCGGCAATAGAGAGGACATCATTTTACCTGTGCCAATCAAAATCGAGGATCTGCCGCGCGCACCTAGCGCTAGGTTCAATTTGGGAAAATGACACTGCGTCAGAATTTTTATTTATTTTTTTCTGGGAGTGTACGTCTAAAGCGGAGCAGATTCCTCTTTCATATTTTTCACTTTTGTTCTTGTTTGGGCAACGGTCGGCTTATTTTCGGCTAGCCGTTTTAGCCGTTGGCTGTATCAATAATTCATATTGGATCATGAGATACAGCCAACGGCTAAAACGGCTAACCGAAAATAAACCGACCGTTGCCCAAACAAGAAAAAAAAGTGAAAAATATAAAAAACGAAATCAGATGTCACCCTTTTTTTAGTAAAATATTCGGGTACCATGCACGATTTGTAATAGGATCGATTGCATGGTATTCGGGTATAATTTAGTACCCCAGGTATTTTACTTCACAAAATACGGTACATACATGAACTTTCTCCCTGTTTATTAAGTGATGTGAATAAAAATGTGCCTCAGACTAATAGATGTCAATTGGCCTAAGTTAGGGTAGGAGTTAGGGTCGATCGGTTAATGCTGGCCAAAAAATCGACATCTGAGGCAAGTGTTTAAAATTTTTTTTATGATTGGCTAATTTTGGGTCAAACTAAACGGCTACCACTAATTCCATTTATGTAGTCCGTACGGAGTTTTATGTAAACAAGACCAGGTTCTGAAAGCTTTTTAACGGCCCTATTTGGAACGTTCCTTCTATTAATCTAGATTCCAAAATTCTGACATTTCTTTAATTAGTTAGTGCTTTCGTTTATTTAACAATAGATAAAGTTGCACGTACGATTGTTCCAAGATGACTTCGCCTCAAGCTATGCATTTCCGTGAATTTCCATTTCGGCTGACATCGGTAAACTTTTTTAATAGTCATCAGTGTTAGTCACGATCATTTAGCCAGTGTTTGTATTCGGGTTTTAGTTATGCAATACTTGCATAAATATCTTATCACCAAATTGGGTTTCGGGAAACATGCATAATTTATTGCACGGGTCTTATGTAACAACCCGTTTACTTATTGGCACGGATTGTACGTCAAAACACTGTGCAATAAAATAGTTATATGGCCTTCGGCCATGTAGTGCAAATTTAGTTATTTTTTACAACCCATATAATAACTATAACTTGCCCCTTACAGTAGTATGCACAAATTTTTTCTTATAAAACTCTAACGACGTTAGAGGGAAAAGTTATAATCTTTTTTTAAAAAAAATAAAAAATCAAAAAGAAAGAAAAAAAATGTTTCTGTTTTATTTCTTGATAGCATGCCTCGTGTGTTATTATATCTTCAGATCAAATACTCCACGTGGTCTTAAAAGACTCCCTTCTCCACCGGGTAGCAAGTTTTATTTCGGTTAGTATAAAATAATCAGGGTTATCATTTTAATGATTTATTGGGAGATTTCGTCTGCTCCTGGCATCCATTGCACCAATTGCATATCCTAGACTTTTTATGAAAACAATCTTTTTACAAGACATCTGGATATAACGACATCATAGTAAACTCTTTCTATACCGACATTTTTTTCAAAAAATTTAATATAAAATGTCGGTATAACTCACTATATCGACATTTTCTAATGTCTCAAAAATGTCGATATGACCAGAGTGACGTGTATAGCACCGTATAATCCGTGTATGCAAAGTTAAAATTTAAGGTTCATGCGACATTAAAATTTATGATAACAAAAATTTTATCTCTATGTGGCTACCTAAAAAATATATTAAAAAAATACGAAATAATGTTCAGAAACGTGAACTTATATTACCTGATCCGTTATATATTTAATTTATTAAAAAAAGATATATATAAATGTTTTTGTAGGTCATTTTTTCCAAGTTGGACATGAACCGCATAAGAGGTAAGAGAAACATATACCGATATGTGTTAATAAGAATTAATTGAATAACTTAAATATCATATAATACGTATCGGTATTAATATTCAATCTAAATAGATTTGCAGAATGGGCGAGGAATTTAGGTGATATTTATGGTGTACAAATGGGTCAACAATATTGGATTATATTGACCAGTGATAAGGTTGTTGGTGAACTTTTACAAAAGCGTAAGTTAATTTAAATTGTTATGCTAACTTGTTATATGTTAACGGTTTAGTTGGTAATTGGTAATTGAATTGTTATTTTTTTTTTAATTCTAGGTGGTGGAAAATATTCAACTCGCTCACCAAGTTATTATACTTATCAATTATTGACCAAAGGAAAAGGTTATGTTGGTTGTCCATATAATGAGAGGTATAAAATGCTTACTCCTATTAGTAAGTAATTGAACGTATTAATTTTTGTTCGAAGCGTAGCGAGGACCCTTTTGCTTGATCAAAATCTTCACGCAATGTTAGTCCGAATGAAATCGAGGATTGATAGTTCTCGTGATGATCTGCACAATTAGAGATGTATCTCGCGTGAGATGGCAAAACTATTGCGCTCGCGATTTCGTGTGACTTGCGCGAGATAAACAGTTTGATTAGGAAATTTTTATTAAAATGTATTTCTGTCACATGTATCGCGTAACATTTCGCGACATGATGCGATGTGCGAAATGTAAGCTAGGTTTATCTCGCGACATGGACATCTCTAGTAACAATACGTAACAGAAGATAGCAATATGTTACACATATACAAAAATTTAGCATAAAAGAAATTTTTGATTCTGGTTTGCCAATTTTTTTTTCATAACTTGAAGTTTCATTGATTAAAATTCTATTTAAAAAATAGTGCACGGAATTCTGGGTCAGCGCAGTGTAAGAGAAAACTCTGATTTACTAGATGATGAATTTCGTATACTTATGCAAAATCTTTGCCAAGCATCTGCAAAAGCAAAAGATGGTTTTTATCCTAAATATTGTTTTCAACTTACAAGTTTAAACGTCATAACCCTCTTATGTTTAAATAAACGTACGGAAAGTGTCGATGACCCATTTTATACAGAATTTGAAGATTTAATGGGAAAACATTTAGAAGTCTCCAAAATAACAAATAGATTATCTGAATTTTTTCCGATATTAAGATGGTTTGCAAACACTAAATTACAAAATACAATAACAGAAAATAGAGATAGCCTTGAAGCTTTTCTCAGAAAATTGGTCAAAGAGGTTATAGATGATAATGAGAAGAAGCCATGTGCTATTAGAGATTTACTTCGTAAGAAGGACGAAGGGATCATTGATGATCTAGACGTTATTTATCTAATAGATACGATTTTTGCTGCTGGAACTGTAAATATTATCAGTTAAAAAAAAATTTTTTTTTCCGCATAACCCTAATTATTAATATTTAAAAAATTTTTTTAGGATACAGTTTCAGCAAGTTTAACTTGGCTTACTGCTACTTTAGCCAATAATCCTCAAGTTCAGTTTAAAGCTCATCAAGAACTTGATCGAGTAATTGGTCAATCTCGTTTACCAGAAGTTTCTGATGAACCAAATCTTCCTTATATACGTGCTATAATCAAAGAAAGTCAAAGATATTGTGCTCCAATTTATCTTGGTATACCTCATGCCACTGAAGAGGATGATGAATATAATGGATATCATATTCCAGCAAATTCTACGGTGATTTTAAATCAATATGGAATTCATATGGATGAGAGAAGATATGAAAATCCAAAGGAGTTTAAACCTGAAAGATTTTTAGGAATTACAGAAAGTAGTGCAACTTTAGCAAATGGAAATTATGAAAATAGAGACCATTTCGGTTTTGGAGCTGGAAGAAGGCTTTGCACTGGAATTCATATGGCATGTACAATATAATATATATTTTAAATTAATGATTTTATTAACTTAATTAAATTTAAATTATTTATTAAAAATCTTTTGTAAAAAAAAAAAAAAAAAAAAAAAATAGGCTGAGAGAGAACTTTTTTTAGGAGTTTCACGTCTTCTCTGGTGTTTTAAAATAGAAAATGCGTCACCATTAGGTAAAGATGGTAAGCCAATGCCAATAAATTTAGATAAAGTACGCTTTGGTATTACTGTTTGGCCTGAAGAGTATCATGTTAAATTAGCAAAAAGACATAATAATGTTGAAAATGTTTTATCTGGTCAAAGTTAATAGCTACTTTTTTTTTTCAACGATTATATTTAAATCTTCTAGTAATGAATAAATTAATAAGTCAAACTTGTTTTACCTTAAAACAATTATTTATTGTATGAGCTAGTAAATTCCGTTCAATAGAGTGTTACAGCTATTATCAGGACACCTGAATGATTTTCGGCTGACTTGTTAAGTTTGTGATTTTGGCATAATTGATATTATAATTTAAGTTCAGGCGACTACAAATATTATGACTAATTGAAAGAAAAAGATTTAGAAAACTTATCAGTTCAAAATTGTATGTATTAGTAGATCTTCTATAAGTTGGGATATGGATGTATCACAAAAACCATCAAAAGAATGTCAATATTTACTGTGCAGATAATCAAAAATAATCAGTACAGCAGTAGCTACAATTATCATCTTACAGACAATCATTTCACAGGCATCTCTTTTTAGACAATCAATTCATAGACAAGGTTATTTTAAAGACAATTAATTTAATTTTACAAGCATTTCATTTTATAACATCTTTTATGCTGGTTCAGGAGTTATTTAATATTAAAAATTGTTGTCGCAGCTGATGCTGAAATTTGGGGTCTCTATTTAAATCTATAATACCTACCAAAATCCACATATACTTTTTTATTAATAAAACTACCCTACTAACCCTAACCTAACTATGAAAAAAAAGTGTAAAAAAAAGGCCCAAAAATTTTTTATGATTTTATAATAAAATATGAAAAAATTTCAGCATCAGCTGCGACAATTGTTTATAAAATGAACTATCGATAAAATGAACTGTCTATGAAATGAACTGTCTGTAAATTAATTGTCTACGAATCGATTGTACATGAAATAAGTTGTCCATAAAGTGAAATTCTGTCTGTAAACATAACCAGTAACCCATGAACTTCACTTAGAAGCAAATACTTTTACTATTTACTGCCAGCATCATATTAGCTATATGTAAGCTCTAAATACTGGAAACAGTTAACAAAAAAAAGAAGATTGAAACGTTACATGTAAGCTTTAACTTAAAAGAACTTTGTGTATACCGTTTGACACGCTATTTTTATAATAACAATAAGACCAACACTCATATTTTACATATTCTGGTTAAAACATTAGTAACTTTGGGTTAAGGAGTAGGTCAATAATGTGTACGAATATAGGAGTATTATTGTTCATTTACTAATTTTATGCGTATCTATCTATTTCTAAATATCTGACAATTTCTTTTTACGTACATTTATTAGTTTGTAAGCTTCTTTATGTGAAGCTCTTTTCGTTTTCTAGTATTAAAAACGATAAATCTTTTAAAGATCATGCATTTTGATTGGTTAATTATCACGGGAAATCACGGGTAGATCTACAAAAATTAACCAATCATATGAATGTCTTCCTAGTAAACATTACTGAAAAAGTAAAACGTACGTACGTATCATGGTCAGACACACAGGTAAGAACGGCCCAAATATGGAAAATGGTTACACGAATGTTGGATGATTGTCACATGCAAACCAGCCAATCAAAAATCGGTAATTTT